AGGCTGCGACCTGTGCTCCGAGTTCAATGGGTGCCTGAGATGTTCCCCCAAACTCTTCATCCTTCTGGAGAGGAATGATATCCGGCAAATTGGGATTTGCCTACCATCTTGTCCACTGGGATACTTCGGCCTTCGCAATACAGACATGAACAAGTGCATCAGTGAGTATGAGGGTGGGAGGGAAAGGGCGAAATGCTGGAGGGTGGTAATCCTTTGCAGTGCTTTGCGGGGGATCGTGCCGCCTCCGGTCAGGGGAGAGGAGATGCTGTGGCTGTATTGAAGGGGAGAAGGCGGTGCTGAGCAGGGCAGCGATCTACCCAGGGAATAACCCCATAATTTATGCCAATGTTGGCTAACGCACCTTGGGTGCCCAGGGGCTTCCCCGCCGCGGCACTGTGCAGCCGGTGCAGCGTGCAGCCAGGCTGAGCTGCTCCTTCCCTTTGACCAGCCGCTAGATACTGCCCAGACCGTGCCCTCAGAAGCTGGGTAAGCATCCACTGCCCCCACATCAGCCCTTCCATGCAGGTTTTGACTTGAGTTTTGGCCTTCCTGGTCTTTGAGAGTCTCTGTGGGTCTCTCCGTGCTGTGGGCAGGGGGTGGTAATGGACCAGTGGTCTGTTAGAGCAGAGGGCCACCAGCGAAGCCTTCTGGGCTGGGCTACCCCGTCGCAGCGTGCTCAGCACCGCCCAAGTATGCTGTGGACAGGGCATCCTGCGGGACACCTGGGAAGCTCTGTTACCTGGGCTGCCAGACTGGCACCCTCTTTCTTTGGGAGGAAGGAGGAGGAGGGAGATCCTTTCAGCTTTTAAGGTCCTGCTTGCACAAGCAGCTTTTCTTCCCTCCTCTGCCCGTTCACCATAGCCAAGCAGCTCTCTGAATGAGATCCTGGGCCTGGGGCTGCCTCTTTCAGCCAGAGCACCAGAAAGAAGCTGGACATGGAAAAACACAGTCACTTCCCTGGCAGTTTTGTGCAGCCTCATGGCCAGATTTCCATCTAACTCCATTTCTTTGCAGCCCATACTGTAGCTGCAGCTGGAGCAGTTGATATGGGACTTCATTCTTTGCACTGTCCCACTGTGGCTAACTGATGCTTAAGCTGAACACCAGCCCAAACCTTTTCCACCCTGCCTGATTTCAATCTGGCAGCGGCTGCTGCTGGCTATGAGAGCTGCAGCACAGCGGCTTTGTCCTGTACCAGGGAACGGTGCAAAGAAAACTGACTTCTGAGTAGCACAACCAGGCCTGGCAGGGCGTTCAGAGGCTTGCCCTGGCTGTTGGCAGACCCCTTGGAGCCAGGAGTGAACTCCAGTTAGCAGCCAAGAGCTTCCCGAGTCTTTTGCTCACATCAGACTACATGACGGCTTTGTGGTTTTCTTTTTCCCCCAGAATGCAAAATTGAGAACTGTGAGTCCTGTTTCAGTCGAAACTTTTGCACAAAATGTAAGGAAGGTTTGTATTTGCACAAAGGGAGATGTTATGTCACATGCCCCGAAGGCTATTCTGCTGCCAACGGCACCATGGAGTGCAGCAGTCCTGGTAAGTGATGCTCGGGCACCTTTCACTGAGCTTTTTGTGCGTCTGTCGGGTCCAGTCACGTGTATTGCTACAGTTTCGTTTAGATGATAAAACAAACCCCTCAGAGATGATGGCTTATTGTACCCGTGTTGAGTGGGTGATGGTACAGGCCAGACCCAGCCCTTCAGAGGGCAGAGCCCTCTGGAAACCAACCTAGACGGGGAGCAGCACCCCAGCGTCGCTGCCGCGTTTGTGAAGTGTGACTCGGAGTTTGTGCGGCACGGCGAGGAAGGGGGTGCCTTGAAAACTTAGGAAGCTGCTGGGGAAACACACGTACCCTTCAAGCCTTCAGTGGGGGAGAGATGCGATGGTGTGCAAGGGCTCCGGGAAGTCGTGAGGCAGCAACAGAGAAACGAGAGTTACTGCTGGCCTCTCTTGTTATCTGGCAGCACAATGTGAAATGAGTGAGTGGGGGCCCTGGGGGCCCTGCTCCAAGAAGAGGAAGCTTTGTGGCTTCAAGAAGGGCAATGAAGACCGAACGCGGCGGATTCTGCAGGCTCCCTCTGGAGACGTGTCCCTGTGTCCTGCCACCACGGAGGTGCGGAGATGCACTGTGCAGAAGAACCAGTGCCCCGAAGGTGAGCAGGCATGGAATATCTCACCATCCTTCCCCAGCATCCTTTATTTGTCAGGCACAAGTATCCAGCCAATTGTCCAGTATCATAAATGTGCTGCACATCTCACTACCCCTCTACGGTACAGGGAACACAACGTGACAGCAGCTAGAAGGACCCCTGGGTGGATGATGCTCAGCACGGCTTGCCACGTGTCCCATGGGCTTTCAGATATTCTAGCTTCTTCCCTGGCTGGAGAGCAGCAAGGCAGCTGAGCAGCCGAAGGTGCATGCCTGTGTGCTGCGGTGAGGGGAGTTGTCTTCTCCTCTACCAGAATGCTTGGGTCTGTGTTTTTCCCAGGAATTAGAGTGTCTTCAGGATGAATGGTGGTTTGGTCATTGCAGCTGGGTTGAGTGTTTTGAGGGAAACCGGTTCTGAGCAGTGACTAACACCACAGGGATTAAACAGCCGGGCAGGGGGAGGCAGACACGGCTGATCCGTTCCTCTGATGCACACAGCAGCGTGCGTTAGCTAAGGGGCTTGGTATGCAGCCGCGGAGAAATGCAAGTGTTAACACTTCTGCTGGAGACCGACAATTCCAAAGCTAAATCCTGATTTGATCCTTCTTCCCCATTTATGTTTAGGCAACAGCTCGCGATGCAAAGCACAGCCTGGCAGGCCGGGCGGCCGTCAGGCACCTCTGTGCGTGGAGAGGGGCACAGGCCCTTCGGGACACCCCTGGCAGCAGCAGGCCACGGGCCAGCTCGCGCTGCCAGAGAGCCTCACGGTGCCCCTTTGCTTTACTGCAGGGAAAAGGAAGAAAAAGGAAGAGCAAGGAAAGCAAGATAATGCGAATGGGAACAGAAATCGGAAAGACACCAAAGACGCTAAGTCTGGCACCAAGAAGAGGAAGAGCAAACAGAGAGGGGCCGCGGTCCCCACAAAGCCCTCCTGCGAGCCCTGCCCAGTAGCTGCCCCTTTACGTCACCTGATGGCAAGACTTCATTGCTGCTATGTATATGAAAGCTTTATTGAACCAGAGCACTGCTACACAACACGTACACATGTCCAGAAAGACAGACATATACTCCCAGACTGACCCACAGACCCGACAGAAACCACATACACAATACTTACGGAGGCTGCACACACACCCCCCACCCAGGACCGCGGAAGGACGCTGCCGAGAAGAGGAGTGGGAGCGCACACGGAGGGAAGCCCACCTCCCCGGGGCTCCGCGGGGGCGGCTGCGGGGAGGAGAGGTGCTGAGTCAGCGAAGGACCCAGGCGCGAGACTTCGTGA